GTTTGCTCACATCGAATATTGCTTCTATTTTAAGTGCTGAAAGGTTAGATGAGGATCAGTGCTGCAAGATGAAAAAGATAAACCAGCTAATATATAGACTATGCTCACCAGGGGCATCATTTCATTATTTTTTTTCGGGGAGGGGGGGTGCAAAACCAAAACTTGGTCGGCTTGTTAAGTTGTTTATTACTGGAGGCGCCACAGGACATAGCAATGTAAATAAAACCTGCAAATTGGGGTGGGGGCAAATGCCCCCTGTTCTACCCAAATGATGCCCATTGTTACGATAAAGCAATCCTGGCTACTCCTTGCCTTGTGAAGATGATAGCAGCTTTAAACTATGCTATAATTGTCAGATTTACTGACAATAATCATAGTAATATCACAAACAATGATATTTAGTCTTTAACGTTTCAATTGATTCTACATTATAAAATTTAAGTGTAAAAACTGTTTAACTTGTTGATTAACAAGCTAAAGATGTAATGACATGTTTTTCCTAAAATTTTGTGTCATTAAGATGGATCAGCACAAAGTAAAAATGTATTTATAAATTTATTTATAATAAAATTCCTTTGTAGACATAATTAAATGGGGGGGGGGGTCCATTGAAAGTTTGACAGTTGTTGACAGTGGGGGGAGGGGGTCAAAAATTGCTTAAAAACTGTTGACATAATTAATGGACGACCCATAGTTAATTAAAGGATGACCCCTAATACTAAACCTAGACTAGGGTTCACAACACTATCATCAACATTTTGACTGTCTTCATTACTTTCCAGGTTGTTTTAGTCAGTATCAGATTCACTACAAGAATATCAAATCACTAAGGATAGTTTGTTCAATGTCACTATCAGACATTTTCGAATTTTACTATATTACTGCAACACAAAAAAAATTTTGAACACAACTAAAGCTAGTAAACAAAGTAGGCTGCTATTAAAATGCTAGGATGTGCAGGAATATGTACAAAGCAATCTGATTAGCTGGTACAAAGACCAACCAGTCAATCTCGAGGCTTGAATTATCGGGCTGATCAGCCATTTGTCTTTTTCATTATTTGACCCTCCCAGACATCTCATGAGGGTTGAACACTGAAGCAAATGGCAATGCCATGGACCATGACTAATCTAGTAGTAGTAAACTAAATTTGAAAAGCTTACTTGCAGTTTATATACAAGTTGGGATCAATAAGAGAAGCAGCGAGTTAAGATTTAGATTAGAATTACATTTTTAATTTTTGGTCTACTATTTGTGAGATTAAGTACTAACCACCATCCAGGGGTTCTCAACGTTTTTCCACCATTCCCTCTTGATCCAAAACATTTTCCACAATCCAATCTCTATTACTATAGCACAATATATTTCCTCTCCAGCAGGGCCTGACAAATCTGCAAATATTTGATTTTCTGGGTCTTCCTGCACACCATTTCTACCTTTGGCACCTCAGTGGGTGAAGGCGCCCAGGGTTAAGAACCCCTGCAAAATACATTCTGAATAAGATCAGCTTATGGTTTCACACCTCTTTTCAGCAATAAGAGGTCTTTCTATGATTATATTTATGTCAGTGTTTACTCAATGACACTGAAATATTATTACACTTTTACTCTCAACTAGATGATGAGAGTTCAAATAAAGTTTATAGGTGTGTAGTGACTGAGTGTTTTGGTCACTTTATATAACTTTTTGTTAAAGAAATAAATGTTGATATACTGAGAACATATATAGTATGGGAGCGGGGGTAGCAGCTATTCCTAACTAGAATTATTTAAGTTGACTACTTTTTCCAAACCTCTTTACCCCGATAAAAATAATTTCAAAACAGTATTATACAAATAATTTCAAAACAGTATTATACAAATAATTTCAAAACAGTATTATTATGTGTAATTATACATAATGTGTGCAGCTGCCATTTCCTTAGACATGGATGGCATCAGCCATTGCTATAAGCTACATGATATGTCCTCTAGAGTCTAACTCTTATCATTTTTCATGGAGATGATCAGAGGCTAATTGCCCTGTCTCGGCACAGGTTTTGAATTATTTTATTTTCAGACAAGCGCTCTCCTCTGTCTCTTCACACTCTTTTCTGTCTCTTCGCCGTCTTCTCTGTCTCTTCACCCTCTTCTCTGTCTCTTCATCCTCTCCTCTGTCTCTTCACCCTCTTGTTTATCTCTTCACCCTCTTCTCTGTCTCTTAACCCTCTTCTCTGTCTCTTCATCCTCCTTAATAGTGATTAATGTATAATGACCAACTATAGGCAATCCAAGGAAAAATACATAATAATAAAAAAAATCAGCTACCTAATAATCAGTAATGGCATGTGTTAGGATGCTAATGGTAGTCAAGTCTTTGCTTACGGTGTGCAACTATACTGTCAAATAACATGCTTGATGTCAACTCAAGTGATACTTTCATGAATTAAATTTTTTTCCCTTCACATTTCATATTATAGTAATTTGTAAGACTTGTTTCAAACTGAAAATATATCATTCAAAATTCTTTGCCTTTTTTAAGAAATCCAGTGTGAATGTGAGGTTTATCATTATCCTCAGGTCTTTTGTAGTGTAGTTGTAAATTTTTAAAAAATCTTATGTCTTTATATACAGGTACTCCTACTAAGTTCAAGAACTCTCTCAGTTTAGATGATATAAATAATAGTAGCTCTTGTAGTGAAGGTGAAGTAGTATACATTACTCTCCTATAATTTTTCCCACTAACCCAATCCTTATTAATCCATGTAACTGCTTTTACATTTGGTTTATGATTTGTGAAATAATTCATTTTAATAAGTTAATAATAATGTTTTTAACGTAAATTATCTTTTGCTTAACCAAGTGCTACTTTTAAAAGAAAATAATTAGAAATGTTTTGTTAAACATGTTTTAGTACATCCTATTTAAAGGAAATAACATTTGGTATTATCATCAGCAGAGCTGGAATTAATTAATGACAGGCATATGTCTCAATATTTTTCTTTTGTTTATTACTAGTACTTCAATTTATGTTAATCTTATAAAGCATGCACTTCTTCTGGTTAAAGGGACTTAATAAAATATGTTTCTTTTATTGTTTCTTTTCCCACCATATTAAATAAGGATGCACATATTAGTAGGTTGTTGGGTCCTAAATAAAATGCTCGCTTAAAAATAATGAGTTTTTTTTAAAAACATCAACACATTCCAGTAATTACATAATATTGGTTAAAAATTGAATTTTCTTAAATTTTCATGTGGTTTAGACTATCCCATCATGGGACTTGAGATTTTTAGGTACACAAAACGGAACTCCTCATTGAAATAAAGCAAAGCATTGATTGATTACCAAATATGCCCTTCTTCCCCGCTTTCCAAACTTGCAACAACAAAAAAAACTGCTAGGCTTTTATTGTTTATAGATATCTTTTGACTGCCTAGAGCCATTCCCAACATTTATTTCCTTAGCTACCATACTGGTAATACTGTTGCAAGTTCAAAAGCTTGAATTAGAAGCCAAAGTAGCAATTTTTGCGATATTCTAATGAATCATGTGAAAGTCAATAACCTGCTGATCTGAAGGTGATTGATGAATCTTCGACCAACTGTATTATATATTCCAGGATGTTATAACTATAGTGTTGAAACACTTTTAATACAACTTTAACAAATAGATGAAAAGAATTCTCCACCTAATAAATGAACAACTCATAATGTTTTTTGGACTTTAGTCTATTAAAAGAAAGTGTATATTTTATGCACATTTAAAGTCTCATCAATGTTAATAAAATTCATAAACTTCTTGAGTAACGATACATATTTTTTTTTACAAGTTTAAATATGTAATTAAATCACTCCCTAGGAAAAAAAAGAGTTTGTGGTATTTTCCTAGGATGGTATTTTCTTAATATTTTTTAATGACTAACTTAAATAATGATGACTGGTGTGTGGTTTAACCTATTTTAAATATTTTACTAGAAAAAAATATTTCTTTTTCCTCTTTTGAACATTTTATGTTGTACCATTAAATTTGACCTTATGTTTCAGTAGCTTCTTTATGGATTTAAATGGAAAGATTTTAGAAATTCAATCTTTGCTTTTCCTTGGTTTGTTTTTTTTTTTTAAGGCTTGGATCTGTTTCTAGGATGGCAATATTTATTGGCCTTAAAACTTAAAATGACTTTAATTTTAGGCTTGAATCTGTTTCTAGGATTGCACTATTTATTTGCATTAAAATTACTTTAATTTTAGGCTTGAATCTGTTTCTAGGATTGCACTATTTATTGGCCTTAAAATGACTGTAATTTTAAGCTTGAATCTGTTTCTAGGATTGCAATATTTATTGGCCTTAAAATGACTTTAATTTTAGGCTTGAATCTGTTTCTGGGATTGCAATATTTATTGGCCTTAAAATGACTTTAATGAGCTTGAGAACAAAAAAACTTTTAAAATATTATTGCTGTTTAAGTAAATTAATTTGTTTGGAATGCTATTTCCTTTCTACAAAATGTAACTGTTTTCATTTATTGTAATAGCAAATAATATACACACCAGCACAAAGGAAATCTTCTTAATTATATTTTTCTACTTCAGATGATGTTGTTGTCAAAGTCGTTTTAGTGGGGGAAGACACACACGCCTTGGAACCTGTTGCAAGGGTAAGTACTTCTGCATAACACCTTGAAGTACTGGCCCTTTTGAAATGTGTTTAAACTGTTCCATAATGTTTGGTTATTGGTTGTTTGTGTTTTTTAAGAGTTCATATATGAAGCTTTGTATATTTTATTTGTGCAAAGTATTTTCATGCATTTAAGATATGTAAGACAATCAAGATGTTGTTAATTATTCAGATAAATTTCGCATCAGGTAAATGTGAATTTTTAACAACAAAAAAGCAAATATTGTTGGTGTTTTTTTTTTTTTTGTTTTTTTTTTTTTTTTTTTTTTTTTTTTGTTGTTTTTTTTATGTCATTAATTTATTAACAATCTTTCCACCATTGCTAGAAAATTCAAGGGGTATCTGAAGTCTATTGTTCTGAAACTGGCCTTGAACTAGTTAAAGATGCATGCAAATGTGAGATTTCATTTGTCCTTGCCAACTTCGAAGGTGAACTTTTTTGTAAGCTGCATCGAGCCCAAGTCAGAATAATTGGTCCTCCTATTCTTCACAGATGTGCCAGGGATTATATGGTATGCCTTCTACTGAGTGAGCTATTTGAAAGTTACAATGTTACCCTCCATTACCTCAGTGCTCCATTGAAACTACCATTATTACCATCCAATCCATCCAAATGAACACTTTTAAAAACTATAGCATTTCTTTAATTGGCCTTGTGGGTTACTGTTGTTGCTTTGTTTCCTTTTGCAGCCGCTTCCATTCAATGCTCGTCCACTTTTCAATCTCTCCATGCAAGACCTAGTCATTTGTTTCACTGGTTTCAAAAACAAAGCAAAATTGGTGCGTAGAATTTTATGTTGATTTTTAAATTATATTTGTATTTGTCTGTACTAAGTTAATTCATCATATTTACTATAGATATTTGCCTTATTGTTTAGGAACTTTTGTTATGTGGGACAGCAATTTAGGTTAAGAAGTTAAAATATAATGAAAAGCAAGTTATTTTTTAAATCAATAAATATAGTATATTAATTTCCTTCTTATTCAAGATTTGGTTGGTAGACCATGTACATTACATGGGAGGAAGTGTTCGGAAAGATGAAAGCATTAAAATATCACACATGGTGGCTAATATTACTCATGGTGCCAAGTACAGGGTGAGTTATTGTGGTCCAGGATCTTTTGACAAATGTCAGCAATTAATTTAAGGAATCTGTTTGAATCTAGAATGCACTTTAAGTATGTAAAACAATATCAATCACTAAATAACTCTTTCCATGGCCTCTTTTGCATTATATAATTTCAGTATGCTGTAAACATGGGAAAACCAATCATGAGCGAAGACTGGATAAACCGGTTGTGGTCGGATCGGAATGATATAGACTCGTGTGCTAATCATCCTAAAATGGTAAAATGCCTTAGATACTTATTTGAGCTGTTTTACCAAATTGGCAGAATGGATAAAATGTAGTTTCTAGACAAAGTTAAATAAATATTGAATTAAGCATAGAAATACAGAATTAAAAATGTTTTATATTGAGTGAGTTTGTGTTAAATGTCCTTTAAGCAAGATTATTTTGCTATACTAGATCGTAACTATTGTTAACAAAACTAACCTTTCTAGATTATTAACCCATTGTTAGATGGATTTATGTGATAATGTACAAATCTTTTAAAATGACCAAAAGTGGCTTTTGTTATTTCCTCCTTTCAGATTGGCTACAGAATGAAACCATTTTATGAATGTTGTTTGAGTTTTCTGGGCTTTGCAGGAGAAGAACAACGTCACATGGAGGAACTGACCATTGAAAATGGTTTGGAGCAATTCAATTTATTTCTACATGCCTAATCATAAAATAATTGTATGATCAAATTTTGGAAGTGCATCCTCAAATAAAATAATTGTATGATCAAATTTCGGAATTCATCCTCAAAATAATTTTCTTATCAAATTTTGGAAGTCATCCTCAAATAGTATAGTGATTAATTATAGAATATTTTATGTAAATTAAAAACTTGATGTTTAGCACTAGCTTTGTATCAGCTGTTTTGATATTGTGGCGAAACGTGTAACAGGCCAATCAACTTTTCTCACTCAAAGGTGGTACATTTGCTGAGCCAGGTTCAACAGATGCCACACATCTTGTTGTTTATGACCTGACTGTCAAAGAGATTCCTCAGGAAATTTCATTACCCTCTTTTGTTGTCAGGGGAGAGGTAAGTTACAAGTAGTCAACTATTAATAAAGTAGCACTGGTTGTCATGAACAAAAATAAACACTGAGCAATCAGCAGAGACATTTCTTGGCATCAACCAATACTAACTTTTGTATCCACATAACAACGATCTGCATCTATATAACATAGCAACAAGAAAAATTAATTGACAAACTCAGCTGCGCAAGCCTCCTAACATGTTTACATTCCTCCCTAATGGATAAGTCACAATTTAAAATGAAAATCTGTCTTTAAACAAACTATTTTCATAAAATTTTGAAATTTTTACCCAGATCAAAAGCAGCCCTGTCAAAAAAGGATTTAGCTGATGAATGTGATAGCAATATGGATGTAATTAGACATAATTCATCTGTTAGTTATGCTAGCTGTATTAATACAGATTCCTTTATTTCAATTAATGAGAGTTGAGGTGGGGATGTCATAAGCTTAGTGGTTGTAAAGTGTTAAAAATTAGTAAGAGCGTAACTAAGTTGTTTTCTTTACTGCATGTGTTTGAGGGTAACTATTTTTGAAGGCTATCCTTTTTAATTAATTTTTTTGTTCATTATTTAACTTAACATTTTCTTTTCACTTATATTGAAAAAGCTCAAAAAGAAAGAAAATGTTTTAAAAACTGTATATTTTATTTTATGTTTACTTGTTATTTTATCCATTCATTCACTTATTTTAATTAGACTAACTTGAAAATAAATTTTATTTCAGTGGTTCTGGGGTTGTATTCAGATGGCAGCTTGTGCAGATGAACAAATTTATACTTTTGAAAAGGTATGTAGATTTTTTTACAAGAATTTAAATTTACATCTATGGGATTTTAAAAAACATTGTGTGCTGGAGTATGTAAGTTTGTTGTTTCAAATTGTCCCCATGGATTATTAGTGACAGTTTGTTGTAAAACATTTTTGTATCTTCATTTACCATTCAGTCAAAGCATTTTAAAAAGTGATTTAGAAAAAGAAAAGAAAAATACTTCCAATACAGCCATTATATTTGGTGAAATTACTCTTTTTAGATCTCAACCCCAGCTCGTCACCAAAGCAGAAGCAACCTTATGGCCAAAAATCGCAAGAGAAAAAGATTACAGGAGCTGGTGGCAGAGACGGAGGGATCACCTTTCATGGCATACAAACGAAGATCTTCGTCGACAGACATCAGTGCCACATCCATGAGCCCAGATTCATTCCTAGATGTGACGTACACACCTGATAAATCCGATACCATATTAGGTAAATGTATGAGCTGCAACAAAGCCGTAGTGAATTCAAGAGATATGGTATTAAACAAAAATTTGTTACTGGTATCAAATAACAAGGAGAAGGAGAAAATGTTCACCTGTTTTTAAATTATACCTCAAAAAAGTTATTTGTATTCTCTTCATAGCAGTTACACATGTTTAAATTTTGTGGTTACGTTACCAATTGGACCTGTTCAACTTCAAAGTTTTTTTTGTTTTTTTATTGCATGTTTGTCATATAATATATCCTATTATATATTTTTAGCAGAGGTGAAGCATGACAACAAAGATGAAAATGTTTCAAAGTTTAGCAAACGTCGGATGGTTGTCATGGAACTCTTGCAGACAGAACAGAATTACGTTGGTATACTGCATACCATTTTACATGTGAGTGTTATAATAACATTGGTGTTCTGCATACCATTTTACATGTGAGTGATAACTTTTCACTACAAAAATTAACGTACATGGATTTTTATTTCAACAAAGTTGTTGTTGTTTTTCTTGCCTTCTTCGACCATTTGGGTTGAGAAATTTTTTTTTTTTTTTTTTTCACTTTTAGTAATTAGCTCACTCCTGACAAATGCAACTAAATGGGGGGTGTGTAATACACTCTTCCTTTTTTTTATTTTTAATTTCCACAAAATTTTTCGCCCAAAAAATTAACGTACATGGATTTTTATTTCAACTAAGTTTTTTTTTTTTTTTTTGCCTTTTTTGACCTTTTTGGTTGAGAAATTTTTTTTTTTTTTTTTTTCACTTTTAGTAATTAGCTCACTCCTGACAAATGCAACTAAATGGGGGGTGTGTAATACACTCTTCCTTTTTTGTATTTTTAATTGCCACAAAATTTTGCGCCCCTCGAGACTTCTTGCTGTTAATTTAATTTTTTTTTTTTAAACCTAATTCATTTCTGGAAGCATTTATCATTCATTAATGTTAATTAATTTTTAGGGCTTGAAAAAAAGATATTTTACAATTGTAAATTATTAATGGTAAAACGTAACGGAATTACTTCCCTTTGTTCAGGATTATAAATTAAGTAAGGAAGTTGCTCTGCAGTCAGGAGTAAGTTAAGTAATCATTCATAGTTAACTGTCTCAAGATATATGCTCAAATATTTGTATCCTTCATTTTATATTTTCAATATCGATTGTATTTTGAAGTCAGTTATTGTAACTCAACCACAAAATTAACAAATTGTTCTCTGCTGAATGTAGTTTAAAAACTCTGATCATAATCATAGTCAAATGTGTCTTCATCAACTTTGCATCAGTTGAACAAAGGTGCAATCAGCAGTTTTTAACAAGTTTAGTTTTCTTCTGTAAAAGTGTTCTCATTTTTTGGCCAGACTTTCAAATCTCAAATTGAGAAACCAGATCAGTATAATGGCCCCATCCTGGCTCCGCAAGACACTAAAATTATATTTGGCAATATCCCACCCATCTACGAGGCCCATGTCAAACTGAGGGACTCCTTGCTGTATTCAGTTGAACACTGGTCAGAGAGTAACAGTGTTGGGGAATGTGTTTTGAAAAGGGTAAGTCATCCATTTCAGATACAGAATTTGAACAGACGTTAAAAAAAATATTCAGAAAAGTTTATTTTTTAAAAAACTTTATTAAACTGAGACTTTGAAACCAGGACAAGTTTAACATTTTTTAAAGTAAGTTTTCAAACACAATAACCGGCCATTCTGTGTCATGACACAGTCACGTTCTCATAATGGTTCATTATTAATTTGACACCCAGAAATTAAGTCATGGTTCTGCCTACTTTGTGGCTGGTGACAATTTATGTAGTTTATTTAGCTTTCCTTCCATTTAATTAATAAAATGTGGAGCATTAAATAAATTAATCAAAGTGAATCAATCTACATTGATGCTTGTCATCATTTCATGGGTTTATAAACTTTAATTGTGTCTTTGGTTTTAGGCCGATGAGTTGATGAAAGCGTATCCTCCATTCGTGAATTTTTTTGAAAACACTAAAGAAACCATACAGAGATCGGATCACTCCAATCCTAGGTTTCATGCATTCCTCAAGGTAGGCCCGGTTTTACTTCTATTTTAGGCTCTGGTCAAGCATTTGCTGCTTTTCTTGAACCTGTTACAGTCGCTACGGTTTCAGTTCCACGCCGCTGTGTATTTCTTTAACTTAACCACATAGAAATAATTTTAGGCTTTAAGGAAGTAATTTCAATTACTTACAGTCAGAAGTAAATGGCATAAATAAATTCAATGGCTGGCATGCTTATTGAACTGCATGGGTCTGTTGACACTTTTCTAAATTCTTAATGCAGAAATTATTCCATCACTAAGACGGCTATAATTTTTAGAAGTAAGGGAAATTCCATTTGACCTTTTTCGGCTCGACTACTAATAGCATTTATCTCCATGTTTAAATGACTAACTATTGGTTTTACCGTCCACTTCAGCTGTGTCTCAGTAAACCAGAGTGTGGCAGACAATCTTTACAAGAACTCCTCATCCGTCCAGTGCAAAGATTACCGAGTGTTGTTTTATTATTACAAGGTGGGCCGCCATGGGCATTTCTATTTATTATGCCATACTTAGTTTCATATTGTAATATGACCCAACTGATAATACCAATCTTTTTTTTTTAATCTAATTGTAATGATGTGTACTATAACTAAGAGTGTCATAAGTTATGAGTTATGAAATCAATAGCAATGTTATTAGGGTATTCATTGGTATCACTGGAATATTTCATTTGAAGCTATGATAATTATTATTTTTTTAAATTTTATCTCGTTTAGATTTGTTGAAAAGGACAGACTCAAGCAATCCAGATAAGGCGAAACTCGAGCAAGCTATAGAAAAAGTGAAAAACATAATGACGTAAGCTGCGCATTAGTATATAATTTTAGAATGGAATCATTGTTTTTTAAAATTCATTTTATAGATTACTTTATAGAAAATGTTATTGTAAATTTGAATTTAAAAACAGTATATTCGTCTTCCTCTTTCTTAACACTTGTTCAAATATATCTATCTCGAAAACAGGCATATCAACGAGGATAAACGAAAAACAGAAAGTCAGGTTGTGATGTTTGACATTGTTAATGACATAGACAGCTGCCCGGTACGTCTTGTTTTAAGTTAAAATCTTGCATGTATTTTTCGGAATTTATTTTTAAAATGGCTGCTGCTTAGCAGTCATTGTCCACAATGATCTCCCTTCAAATTGTGCCGTTTTATACAATCATAATTATAATTTGTCTGATTTTCAAATTAAAAAAATAACTCTTTAATGCAAATGTGCTGTGGTGTCACCTCTTCTTCACTAACTTTGATATGCCTCACTAAAATACTTTAAACTAATAGAGAATGAATCCACACACCCATATAACTTAGATATACTTAGAGTAAATTGGACAAGGAATCAATTGGTATGAATGTTAGAATTCTAAGAGCTATGTAAAATGAATATGACCTGTGCTGCTGTTTATCTTTCCCCCACACTGACTACTGGATCCTCCTCCTTATCATCACTTATACACTTTGTTGAGACACATAAAATAGTATTGGTTTAGAAAATATTTTAGAAGTTATTAGAATTCGTACAATTTTTAGAATTCATAGAATTTTAATAGATAAAATAAATTCAATTGTGACTTACATATTTCTCTATATAATGCCAATTAAATTCATTAGTACCATAATTCCCCTGATTCCACTATTAGAACTTGAACTGCAACTATTTTAAGCTCCACTATCATAATTATCACTACCATTAGCAATACCAACAAAACCATCTTAATATTAGTTTAAGTCCCACTATCTTAATTATCATTTCTATTATCAATGACAACATAACTATCTTCAAAAAAGTAATTCAAATAAACTAGGCCATTCTTCTGCAGGGCCAACATCTGAGTCCTAAAAGCTCGTTGTAGCCAAAAAAAACTCCAAAAGTTTCACCTTGATTCACATTTTTTTAAAATATTAACACATGAAATATTTGACTTAGATTTCTATAATAAGCAAATTTAATTTTTTAGATTTATCCTCCTTCTGATGTACAGTTATACCCTCCTTCTGATGCACAGTTATACCCTCCTTCTGATGCACAGTTATACCCTCCTTCTAATGCACAGTTATATCCTCCTTCTGATGCACAGTTATACCCTCCTTCTGATGCACAGTTATATCCTCCTTCTGATGCACAGTTATATCTTCCTTCTGATGCACAGTTATACCCTCCTTCTGATGCACAGTTATATCCTCCTGATGCACAGTTATATCCTCCTGATGCACAGTTATACCCTCCTTCTGATGCACAGTTATACCCTCCTTCTGATGCACAGTTATATCCTCCTTCTGATGCACAGTTATATCCTCCTTCTGATGCACAGTTATATCCTCCTTCTGATGCACAGTTATACCCTCCTTCTGATGCACAGTTATACCCTCCTTCTGATGCACAGTTATACCCTCCTTCTGATGCACAGTTATACCCTCCTTCTGATGCACAGTTATACCCTCCTTTTGATGCACAGTTATACCCTCCTTCTGATGCACAGTTATACCCTCCTTCTGATGCACAGTTATACCCTCCTTCTGATGCACAGTTATATCCTCCTTCTGATGCACAGTTATACCCTCCTTCTGATGCACAGTTATACCCTCCTTCTGATGCACAGTTATACCCTCCTTCTGATGCACAGTTATATCCTCCTTCTGATGCACAGTTATATCCTCCTTCTGATGTACAGTTATATCCTCCTTCTGATGCACAGTTATATCCTCCTTCTGATGTACAGTTATACCCTCCTTCTGATGCACAGTTATATCCTCCTTCTGATGCACAGTTATATCCTCCTTCTGATGTACAGTTATATCCTCCTTCTGATGCACAGTTATATCCTCCTTCTGATGCACAGTTATACCCTCCTTCTGATGCACAGTTATAATAATAATTCTTGTACCTGCAGATATGATCGGCTGTTGTGATATAATTCCTGGGTTAAAAATGTTGATACATAGTGTTTATTTCTAGGACATAAATTATTGTTCTTGTTTTGCACTCTTGTTGGTTATGGTAGCTTTACTTTTTTTATGGTGTTCATTAGAGAATTTATTGGTTTGTGCTTTATATATATTATCAAGAAATTCTCCAATAGCCTCGGTTAGCATCCATAGTAAGCTTGTTTAACCACAGGTTTGAGAAGACTTGAAGACCATTTAGTGTACTGGTATTTGAACCCCAGACTATCTGCCAACTTGACATGTGTCTTCCAAACAGCGCTGACTAAGTCAATAATTATGTTGCATTCCAATATCAGTCTGTGCATCTTTCAATTTGATCCATCCATTTCAGGCCACTTTGCTGTCATCAAATCGCCATTTTGTTATGAAAGTTGATGTCATGGAGCTCTCAGGGAACCTCTCATCTCGTGGTGATCCCCTGACACTCTTTGTCTTCTCTGACAATGTAGAGGTGAGTATGGACTCTAGTGTCCAACATGTTGTCAGCATATCAGGTCCTAACTTTCAAAACGTGATGAATGAAACTGAATCAGTGCAGCATGTTTCTAATTGAAGACGTTCAATTGGGAATTATTTTATTTGTTACTTGATTAAACCCAACAAACATGTAGATCAGACTGACCAAAAGTAAAATAGTTATGTCGTTGTCAAATGTGACCCTCCACGACAAAATGAGTCGCTTCTCACCTGATGGCCATTTTGAGGTTTTTATCTAGTCTTATATATCTTTTAATTCTGAGTTCAAATGTGAAAACCGCTTGAAAATCGGACAGTAACATTTTTAGTTATGAATATTTTATTGGAGCCACTATCCAAGCCCTGATTTTGAGAAAAATTGATTTTACTAAATATATTTTTCGGACTAAGAATTTCCTTAGCAACCGTTTATGGATTTTGTTTAAATTAGGCACACTTATTCAACCCTTTTTACTCAAGATATGTGGAATATTTGAAAGGAAAATGTTATATACTTTTTTTGTTATGCGTAAAAAAGAAAATATAAAAATTTAGGTTTTAGTTTTAAAAAATAGTATTAAGGTGTATTAGTAGGTACCACAAACTGATTTTTCAAAATCGTTTTACAGCTCTCTTTTTGGTGATTGAGTGAGATCTAATGATTCTAAGAATGTGGATACCACATTTGTCCATATATCCCCCATAGTTATTTAAAATGATTTTTTTTTTAAATTTTCATATTTTGATTTTTTAAACACAATATAAAGTACCATTTTGCAAAGCCATATCTGTAGAAGTAAATGACTTAAACACAATCACTTACACTCATTACAATCTCATATACATAGAGAACAAACTCAATTTTTTTCATGGGTTTAAATTGTTACATTTTAAAAATTTATTGAAATGAAAATGGTGTTTTGTCACATTTTGAAATGTTTCCAAAAGGAGGTAAAAATACACAATTTAATGAATTTTCAAAAAGTCATAAAAAAATAAGTAATTAACTTTGACACATAAAAATTAAATCAAAGTGTTGCTCAACTTAAGAAGTTTAAGGGCAAAGAACATCCTGCACATCAGATCGCACAAAAGGACGTATGTTTTTGTGCAAATATTCTTGATGCTCTGCCGAGAGACCTGGTGGGTTAATTACTGTTGGAAGACCATTTTAAAGCATGCTTATTTAACCTTGTACCGCCCCACTTCTTCTCCGGAGTACTGCCTGTATCCCTCCAGGCCCTGAATCTTTTCTGGACATTGGTCAGCTTGTTTTGGCTAATTCTGAAACATTAAAAATACATTAAAATAACATTAAATTAATAATGATTTTTACTACCTGGTTTCCAAAATTTTTTTAACATTAAATCATATGTGTTTTATGTTTTGAGCATCACAGTTAAAAAAATATCATTCGTCCAGATGACTTACCCATATATAAACTTGAATGCCTCCCTTCAAACATTCTTGCCATTGACAGTGTAGGAGGTTCTCTCCAACTTTCTTACTTTTCGTCGACAAGGCTTATCAATTGTCAACTCACTGCCATTTGTAGAGCTACCAGCCAGTATGCCTATAAATATTATGTCCTTTTCAGCTGAAGAGATAGAATAGAAACTTTCAACAACATTTAAATAGAATTGTTTACATCTGTACATTCTATGACATAATATCTAGCCAACTGCACATAAGCCTAATGTCTAGCTCTAAGTAATTCATTTAGTATTAGTAATGGTTTTAATAGTATGAGCGTAGTGGTTTAGGCCTAGTAAATTAATTAATAGGCCTAAATTAGCCTATTTGTTTACTGTTTAATATCTAGTTCTAGTTATAAGTGTTAGCCCTAAAAAATATGAATAACACTTAAAGGCTGAATAATATATTTACCTTCTGTTAATTCCTGCATGTCCAGCCTTCACCCTAAAATCTCATCAGCTGTGAATTGTCCAATGCACCCTTTTTTTATTGAGGTCGAGACAGAGCTATGCGATGAATTTATCGAGCACCGGCTATCAAAAGATGCCACCTTATTCTTTTCTTCGTCTGGCTGCATAACGCCACTATAGCTTTGATTGTTTATAGAAACATCTTCGATCAAAGGTGGGTCATTTTCTTCTTCATCACTACTACATCCAAGTTGATCAAGTGTACACAGCAGAGCAGATGCATTTTCTTCGTCATCACTCGCTTCAGACTCACCACTAGAGCTAGATCCGTCAGTGTCATCCAATGCTGGTGTTGTAAAATACTCTTGTATAATATTTTCAACACTTTCCAAATCTTTTTCATCATTAATATTTGCATTTCTTGCCGAATGAAGTGCTTTAGCGATAGTAATTTCTTTCGTACTGGAGGCAGCCATGTTGAAAAGTTCAGCATAAACATTCGCTGGGGTTGGTTAGAAAAAGTCACGTGCTAGTATCGTTCAATGAAAAAACGGCTTTCCCTTCCTAGTGACAGCATTATTTACACTATTTTCCAAAAAATCCTTAATTAATTTAAGCCTTTTGGTTGGTTGATATTTATAAAGCCTACGTGTACGTTAGACATAATAATAAAAGGGAGAATACTCTTTCCAATGATGCCAAACATGGCGAGTTAGCTCGAAAGGATAATGAAGAAAATAGCGTTCAAAAAAATATAACTATGCTCAACTTTACGCAGATTTGACACGGAACATCTTACAGGGTATTAGTTTTAAAGTAATTTTTAAATAAGTTATAAATTTAATTTTTTTTAAATAATATTATAGATGTGTGCAGAAATGAATAAATAATTACAAATAATCGAAATCCCAAAATCGATCCTTTTCGACCCAAACACATATTTTTGACTCTAGCTCAAAATAGGCCGAGGTGAGAAGCGACTCATTTTGTCGTGGAGGGTCACAAATGGTTTGTTCATTGTCAAATAGTATTGTCATTGCTGTGAAAGCGTTTCCTCACACTCTGTTTCAAATGTGCCTCTTTATAAAATCCATCTTCCCAGATTTGTAAGCGGAGGTTAAAGGTCTTAGGCTCCAGTTCCCGGAGCCCAGCCATCCAGAACCACAAGACACCACAGAAAGCCTACAAACACCTGGACATGATCAGCATGTCATCCATAAAGCGTGTCCTTGATGTGGATGAGACAGAAGGTATTAGTTTAATTAACCATCTAACCTCTAAAACATCTGCCATGTCACTTTTGGTGAGGGGCAGAGAATATCAAATTCTCTTTCAATATACTTTACTGTTATAAAGTATGCTTATTATATTTGTTAAAGTCTTATGTGTTATTTGGAAATCTAAAATGAAAGTAATATATTTTTCCCTTCAGATTGCCGCCTGGCTTTTGGCCTTATTTGTAAAGACAGTGCACAGACGAAAGAGAAGCTGTACAGTTTTACACTGGCGATGGATGATATGTCTAAAGCTGAGGTTCTAACAAGCATCTGTAAAAATCTGGCCATTGTTCTGTGTCGTCCTGATATTGTAAGTAGCTCAACATGCCATATAGACTCTCACATTTATTAATGGGTAAAGCATCTAGATATGAAAAAAAATTGTTGGGATGTGGTCAATTAATTTTGTAATGTCTCTGTTAGAATAGAGCCAGATTAGTAAATAATTCCCCCTTTGCGTCTGACCCATTGTAATGATTGGACTCTCTTCCATGTTGGTTACCCCAATTGTTACTTAATGAAAGTAATGTCAGTTATCTTTGAGTTTGAATAGCAACAGAGTGTTGGCTTCTGCTTGTATGACCAACTTTGCCAGATTCAAAAGCTCAAAGCAAGTGTAAACGGGAACAATTTTGCAAATACAAGATACTTAATTATGACAGTACATTTTAGTGAGCATTCACATGGTGTCTGTAGTTGATCGTATAGACCAGGAAAATTTGCAATGAAGATGTTTAATTTTGTAGTCCACATTTGACTACTAAAGTGGTTATGTGTTTTGTGCTAAAAGATTCACTTAAATATTATCGGGGCCCATTTTAGTTCAATTAATTAATTTTTAATCAATTTTTGTTGACCAGTGTTGGGAAGGAATCTCTTTTCAAAGGTGTCAACAAACTAAACATTCCAAAGGAGTTCAAGTCAAACTTTTGAAAATGAATTTCTTCATAAAAATCTACTAAACAGGCTGCTAAGTGCTAGTCTTTTGAATAAAGCAAAGCTAGACTTAGAAATAAAATTATTTGATTAGCTGAAACAATTCTAGAGTTAATCCTGAGGAGGTACTTCATTTCAGTTTGACTATCTCATTTCAGGAAACGTTTTTAGCTAAGGTGAATGGTGATGAGTTGAATATCAACACCAAGGATCTTCACAAAGGCAACAAGGCCACTAAGTAGGTGCATTAGGTGCTGTAGTAGGTGCAGCAGTAGATGCAGTAGGTACAATAGTTACAGTAGTAGATACCGTTGTTGCCCCTCGGGGTTAGTCTTTCTCAAACTGCAGCGTGTTTTCAGCATTAGTTCAAGTTCACATAATAAAATACAATTCTATATCCTCATGTGGGCCACTGGCAAAAATGTTTCATCATTTTGGCTGGGAGCCAAGACAGTTGAAAAAGTTTACACTGTTGGATTAAATGAATGCTCTTAGCAAGTTAGTTCAATGACAACAGTTTTAATTTGATGTTGCTCATAGACATTGGGTGTGGAATTAATATAACAGTGTGATGGACTAAACATGGTCCTTGGCAATAAGCCAGGAGACTTTGCAATGATCATAACAAACACATTTTTAGAATAATAGTGTCCATAATTGGAATATTTAGGTTAACTCTGTGCAGTTCGATGGTTTTTTGTTTTTAGGTCATCTCACATGAGGGGATACCATAAAAAGAGTAGCTAATAAATACCCATCACGATATATATATATATCATTGTTCTTAAATGAAGGGAGATTCATATTTTATAAATTGTGCTTGAATATGATTGTGTTTTCTTATAATCATGATTGAAGTGAGAAAATTTGTTTTCATTTTAACATTTTTTTTACACGAAAAACATACTGTAAGAAGGTGGGAAAAAAAACCTATAGAGTAATAGTCTAAAATTTATTGTTTTTTAATTCCCCAATCAAATATACACAATCAAATATACACAATCAAATATACACAATCAAAAAAATAATTTTACATTTAACTGTTAGGTTGTTGTTGTTTTTTTTGTGAATCATTCGTAAATAGTGTTTTTGCTTTTAAATTTTGACAATTGACGCTGTTATACAGAATTATTCAAATACAAAGTTTAAAACCTATTTTTTATAAAAGTTTATATTTAATATAAATACATTAAAAATATATTATAAAAATAATTTCAATAATTTTGTTTTTAAATTATTGAAATTTTAATAGATAATAAATAATTAGAAAAATAATAATAATATTATAAAATAAAGCTAGAGCTTACATGACTAAATCAGGCTTAACAAATACAAAAACAGTCTTAAGAGTTTTCTAGGCTTGTTCTAACAATCAATTATTTCAATTAGGTAGAAATGTTTATCACATTTCAGACAATAATTACCATTGCAGTCTGACGCGCTTTCTTTTCGAGAAAGTAACTCCGCATCATGAAATAAGGCTCATGTCCATAAGTAAAGAAAAACAAATAAAGTGTTCTGGTTTTGGTTGCTGCATCCATGTACTGGCATCTTTGCAACGGTTGGGGGTTTGATGTTGTTATTCTAACAGCTCCTAGCTGATACCAGGGAAGCCTCACAGTGGCATCGTTCAGGTGGTTCAATGCTATTATTGTGCCTGGGAAGAAAGATTGTTGATACTGCACTGTGTTGCACTGAGGCACTTTAAAGCATTTGCTATTGTTTCTGGTGTAAATGTTTATGGGAATGTCAGTGGTGAAGTCAGTGTTCAGTGAGCGTTTTGCTCTGATCAGTCTACCCGGATTCTGTGGGGTGAGGTATGTGCCTGCTGGAATGGCCAGCACCAGTCCTGCTCTGTAGTTGTTATTTTCTTCCAGTTAGTGTATAGGTATTTCTTTTTCTTCTCATGTGGTTGGCATAAGCATTGGTGTAGTCATCAATTTTTTATATGATATCCTGACAGAAATTTCCTGTGGACGATAATTAGATAGTTTATTTGTAAGTTGCAAGTTAGCATGAAATAAAAGCAGGATTTTAATACAGATATGTAATAACAGTTGTAATAATATAAATTATTATATAATAAGAAAATATCTTATTATATTATAAGAAAAGTGATATTTTTGGGGGAAAAATAATTATCAAGCATAAAATCTAAATTGTATGCCTATAGCATGTTCATTAGTGTTCAATTATAAGATCAAATGTTGCAGTTTTTAATTTTTGCATCTCATTTCTAGTTGTCTGCTTTACAGTCCATTATATTGAGACCAGGTTTTCTTTTAGGGATAAATTAAGGTATTACTTGAACTTAGTGGGTCCATGGTCAACAGCTTCATATGGTTTTTTTCCAAGTCAATTGGCAATATTTTATCTGCACTGATTAGAGGAAATTTTTTTAAAAAATACATGGTAATATGAAATAAACTACCAACTAACATATTTTAAAAGTATAAATTAGTAAGTGCCATTATTTACTCGTCAGAGTTTGGCAAAACACAACAATGAAAACTAACAAGCAGCTGTTTGATCAGCTGATTATATAAACAAACGCTTATATTAATTTTTTTTAACGCCAAAACACGATTGGAGAATAAAATTATCATTACAAAATTGAAAGACTATAACTAGTATGCTATTATTAAATTGCAAAATATATTTTTTGTTCAGATTATTTTGAAATGTTTATTTTATTTGCTTAATCTTGTGGACAGCTAGACTTACATCGTTTGAAAATGTACGGCTTCATCCGATGTTGTTTCTTATTAATCTGTATCCCAATCATCAGAGGAGTCACTTAGGGATTCATCTAAGTTAATTTCATTGTTTCCTAAGTCCATTTTGTAATTTAAGGTAATTTTGTTCAAAGCAGCTAGCTCGATTCCAGTCGCGACAAAAAATCAAAATGGACAACATAAACTCGTCTCGGTCACGTTTGTATAAAAATAATTTTATTTAAAAAACAATGTTGATTATATTTAAAACCCTCATTTTTATAAATAAAAAACCATTTTACTATTGTACTAATTTTATTCACTAGATAAAAAATAAATATTACATCCAAAAAAAAAAAAAAGTAAGCTCCTCCCCTTTCCTATCCGGTGAAAAAGATGGATTTCCCTAGAGTTGGACCATACAGAGTGAAGGTTTTATAGAGATAGAAAAAAACAATTTTGTTTATATTTAAAACCCTCATTTTTATAAATAAAAAACCATTTTACTATTGTACTAATTTTATTCACTAGAAAAAAAATAAATATTACATCCAAAAAAAAAAAAAAGTAAGCTCCTCCCCTTTCCTATCCGGTGAAAAAGATGGATTTCCCTAGAGTTGGACCATACAGAGTGAAGGTTTTATAGAGATAGATAGATACATACATTATATAGCTAACTTGAACTGGAATATCCATTGTCAGTTTGAAATTCACTTGAAATTTATGACACAACTAGATAATACCTGACAACCAATGGTGGCGGCGGTGCAGGAACTTCCCATCTACTAAAGTTACATGACAAAACAAGCATTCAAGCAACGTACTTCATAAGAAACCTGATTAGTGCTAACTTCTAGGCATTTTATTTTGTGTGCCTATTTAACAAAGGGTTACAACCTTACTTCAGTACATACAGCCATACATTCGTACACACGCATATATAAACATACCTAGAGAATCATGGTTTGTTTTCATGTTTTCAATTTATTTCAATGAGATCACATCTGTAAGAATTATTTCAAACATCATCAGTGTACATTTAGAGACCAACAGAACGTTTTTGACCTATTTACCAAATGTCCAAATATAATTGGACTTTGTGTAAAACATCCATTGCTACTCCTGTGTGGCTAACATACACTTTTGTGATGATTTCTCACCTCTGGTTGAAATTGTTGGTAACTGAACTCATAAAAATCTGTCCCTTTAAAGGTGCCACATACAATGTCCTCTCATTATAATCCACAGGTTCGGTCGGAGGGTCAGCCGGGCTTTCTCCTTCAACAAGACTCCCAGCAAATTAAAGAGGGCTGTGTCCGGCATGGTCCACGGCTTGAGTCCTTTTGTGAAAGACTCACGTCAGCTCAGCACCGTTAGAAAACTGGCCAGTACTTTCGACTTGACAGTAAGTACCAACTTCTTGTCATTGGTGAATCCAATAATTGATCTGTTCTATAATAGTAGATTCTTGGCCTGATTTATGTTAAAAAAACGTGACCCAACTTTTGAACATGTCTTTATCCAGGAAAGGGTGGATGATGACAGTGATACCATGAGTCTGGGAGCTTATTCATTGCAGGTCAGTAGGTGCTTGTGAGTTTCTTATACACAACTATGTTAGAGAAGAGTTGAGGTTGTATATTTTGAGATTATACAATCTTGAAAAATGCTTCAATAATTTTACTGACAGGCAATATGATTGCACTTTTCTCATCACATTACTTTTTAACAGGGTCTAAGGTGATAGCATGCGATGGCCTTGGGTGTCTAATTTGGGGGGGCTCAGTAATTTTGCTTATGACTTAAAGGATGTCTTACGGTTGAAAATTTTGGAAGAAATTACAAAACTTGATAGTTTCTATTACTATTATGTCCAGTTTGTTTATATGAGATTATATATTTTCCCTTAGAGATCCCATACAGATGTAATATTCTGGTAGCAAATTTTCACAAGTTCATATATTTCACATATTTGTTGTTTATATGTTACATACTGTCTTACCAACATTGACCTAAATGATGAAAAATGTAAGTTTTTTTATTTCTTTAAGGAGGATTGTTCTCCTGGTAGCTCAATCCTAGGTTCTCCCCAGCACTTGGCGCCACCTAGTCATGTGTTTGCCACGCCTAAGTCAGCAGTCAAGTCAGTGAAAACACCGTCAAAATGGGCCACCATCGGACCAAGCTCGGCAAGCAAAACTAAATATTTATGATGTTGCTCGCTGAATTTTGTTGTAGTTTTCACTTGGTCTGGCTCAGATCTGAGTATCAAATGTCATTGGAATAAGCTGTGTGGCTGCAAGCAATGGCTGTGTTCATTTTCAATTCATCCACAGTGTCTCTACAGGAACATTACATCCATTATACACACAACACTAAATTTTTGTTTAAAAACAGTTTAAATACTAAAAATGATTCTTCTAAATCTTTGTTGTTTAAAAGTATGCATTCAGGAAATTATGATTTTATTTGAACTTGCTAATAAGTCACAGATATAAAACTATAGCACATGTATGCAACGGGGCAAGTAACCCATTTGTTTCAAAAGCCAATGCATTTGTGAGTTGACATGTCTGGAGATTTGTTGTATGATGAATGTTTGAACTCTTAGGACTTGGATGTTGAAATGACAAATTTGCCAAAAACTAACTAAATGGATGATGTATTCTATAGAATACCTAAGTATTGTCAGGGAAGTCAGTATTAAATTACTGTCAGTTTGATTTGTTACAAGTCATGCGTGTGTATATACATGTGTGATTGGTATTTAGTCTTTGTGGAGTGAGTTTGTCTGAACTAAGTTCAATGGCTCCAGTGTAGGTGAACATCCATGTGAAGATATTCTATTTGTTTATCAACCATGAGATGTTTTTCATACACTTGTTTCTTGAATGAGAAGATGGCGGTGAATGAAAGACAGATGAGGGTGAATGAAAGAGAGATGGGGATGAATGAAAGAGAGATGGGGGTGAATGAAAGAGAGATGGTGATGAAAGAGAGATATCATTAAGAATGTACAGCCATACACATGTTGACTTTATTTGTAATAACTTGACTGAACTTGTATTTAAAAAAAACAACAAAAAAACATTGATCATTGTACGAGATTGTGCTTATTTCATCATTAACCACCTTCAGAGTTGTAAATACATATAAATCTATGAGAGTATTTGTTACGTAGTACTTCACATACTGGCATTATTTCATGGCGTGCACATATATTATCAATGTATATTGGTGCTATTTCTTTATGTTGGTGGGGTTTTTATGTCAATTTCCTTAATGTGTTTCTAAAGTACATTCCAATTATCTTGAAATTGTAAGTCAAATTAGAAGCAGCCTGTCTGCTGAACTTTTTTTATCTTCTTTTGGTTATTCAAGTGACTTTTAAACCACAGAAGATCTATCTTTGAGACAGTGTTGTGTCTAGACACTTGTATACTGTACCACTATCTTCTCATCACAAAGTTGTGTCTTAGACACTTGTATACTGTACCACTATCTTCTCATCACAAAGTTGTGTCTTAGACACTTTGGATACCGTACCACCATCTTCTCTTCACAAAGTTGTGTCTTAGACACTTGTATACTGCACCATCTTCTCATTACAAATACTGTCCTGAAGTGCACATTAATGTTTCTACTCATGGAATTATGGATGAGTTTCAGAGTAACTTTGATGTATTTTTTCTTTTCTTCAATCTGCCAAGATTAAATTGAGCGACCAAGTCTTAAATAGAGATATCAGTTGTACTTATCCTTTGAGAATGTCTTCACTATTTATTCCTATCTAATTTATTACACATGATGTACTTGTATTGCTTATATATGTTTTATATTCTCTATTGATATATGTCTATTACTGCTCTATTGATCTTATTTATGTCTATTACTGCTCTATTGATCTTATTTATGTCTATTACTGCTCTATTGATCTTATTTATGTCTATTACTGCTCTATTGATCTGCAACGTGCTACCTTTAACATAAATAAATCAAATGCAACAGAGTGAGAAGTTAATTGAATGTTTCTTTCAACTTGCACCTGTTGAACTGCTGCCTTGTTGACATTGTTCAGGGTTAGATCATCTGTACATAACCTAGTCTGTAAGATCTGGATGTGTCAGGTTGTGCTCCAATTCGTCAGGTTGTGCTCCAAAACTGAACATTTCAACACTAACTTCTATCTGTATGTTCTATGCATATCAATGACTATACTCTTAGTATATGATTATTATGACTATTATGATTAAATCGTGCCCTGTTGATTGCTCTACCTACTGTTAACTCACTAGCCTTGTCATTTAGAAAATTTGAATGAAGGTGCCAAATAAGATGACTAACAGTAAGACTTACTTCATCAACGGATGGATTCAAATCCTGGCATGGTAAGACTTACTTCATCAACGGATGGATTCAAATCCTGGCATGGTAAGACTTACTTCATCAACGGATGGATTCAAATCCTGGCATGGTAAGACTTACTTCATCAACGGATGGATTCAAATCCTGGCATGGTAATGATAGTGAGATGACTGACACAAAGTCTAAATAGAATTAATATTCCATCTTGAATTTAAATGGCTAAATACTAAATAACAGTAATAAAAAAAATGGTATAACTTGACATTCAAGTCAGTTTAGAAACCTCTTGGTTTGAACTGTAAATTTAGAATTAGATTTTTTGTTTTAAATGTTAAAGGTTAGGGTGTGACTTCAATGACTGCAGCAAAGTCATGTATCTCTGGAGTAGTTAAAGCCTGTTGAAATAAGTGGAGTACATTATAGGCCGGAATGATTAGCCTCTGTTATATTGTATTAATAAAATCAAAACTAACTGAAAGCAATGATTTTGTTGTTTGTCTGGTCAGTATACTTGAACGGTAGCAGAGTGGGGCCAGTGTACCTGAATAGTGAAATTAACTGGTTTGTGAATGTTAGAGACAGGGATTATTGTTAACTGTGACAGAGTGGGGCCAGTGTACCTGAATAGTGACATTGACTGGTTTGTGAATGTTAGAGACAGGGATTATTGTTAACTGTGACAGAGTGGGGCCAGTGTACCTGAATAGTGACATTGACTGGTTTGTGAATGTTAGAGACAGGGATTATTGTTAACTGTGACAGAGTGGGGCCAGTGTACCTGAATAGTGACATTGACT